CTCTGGACAGCAGTGTCTCCGCCCGCGCTAACAGCTCCTGCTCTCGCAGGTTCATCTGCTGAAGCAGGTGATGCGCTGCTGTCAGGGACGCAATATACGCCGCTGGTGCCTCGGAGATGGGATCAATGATGCTCAGCCCCCCAAGGCGCACGGGCAGAGTTGCTTGTCGCCACAAGAGGCTCTGTTCCAGCTTACTGGCCGGGACCCGTAGCTTGGCCGCAGCAAGCGCCGCCCCTAGCGGTGACTCGCTCCACGCCCGCCACTCCTCTCGTTCCAATGCGCTGCTCGGTGTGGTGTGGAGCAGGTATCAGATCCTGCGGGAGATGCTGCGGGAGAGTAGTAGTAGGGCGTATTGTGGGTGCAGCTGCGCGATAAGGGGGACAGGTGCCGATGCTTTGGCGAGCGCCTGTCGGATCTCTGTGGTGCAGTACTCCGGCGTGCCGATGGGGCTGCCAAGTACCTTGATCCCTTCCGTACTCATCAGCAAACCATGTGGCGGTCCCATCTGCCCCTCATCCCCCTCCCGCGGTCCCCATGCCGATGACTTTGCCACGTTGCACCGCAGCCCGCGCTTCGCCAGCTCAGTGACGATAGCGTCGAAGGCGTTGAACACATCCACCCGTGGTCCCACTACTGTGATGTCGTCGGCGTACGCTATGACAGCTGCTCCTGGGTGCGAAGTTGCCGCGCTCATCAGGGTCGGCTGAATCGCCGCTGCAAACAGGAGAGGACCGAGGGGATCGCCCTGACGCACGCCGCGAGAGCTCATGATGTGCTCGACTCCTAGGGCCGGGTCGACTAGGAGACGCGAAGGTGAGTCATATAGCGTTCCGACAAACGGCAGCAGCTGGTGCAGGTCCGAGATTTCTAACGCCGAGAAAAACGCCTCCCGCTCGACCGAATTAAACGCGTTTTCTACATAGTGGTCATGTTTCCGGAGCAAGGCCCGTACAGTGTGAATGACGCACTGGCCCCGCCAGGCACAGACACACCGTACTGGACGAGGAGGAAGAATTCGCGAATCGCTGGTGCTAACTCGCGTAATGCTGCCTTCGCCGCTACCCTACGCAAGGCCTCTCCTATAGCGATAGGTCGTACGCCCCCCCCCCTGGCTTCTCGAGTGCTATCAGCCGAGACGGAAGGAGGATGTCCCATATCTCTCTCGTCTGTGCGCTGTTGAGTAGCTGGCTGATAAACTTGGTAAGGAGTAGAAGGAGTTCCTCGCTGCAGTGGGCCGGGTCCTTCAAATGCTCGAAACAGGTGCCTGAGGTCCCAGCTCCGACTCCGTTCGGGCACTTCGCGAGTATTTCGCGGGCGTCGCTTGGGGTCAGGTTCAATGACGAGGCAGGCGTACCGGTGCAGTTGGTTACCCAGCTCGGAATTGGTAATTCCCCGACAGGGTGTTTCGTTTGTAAGGCAGCAAGTGTAGCAGGTGTTGGTTTCGCCAGCGGGGTCACTTGGAACGCAGAAACTGCCTTCGAAATGTTGGCCTTCTTTATCAACCCCTCTGCTCATGCACACAGGCTTGCCTCGTCTGGCTGATGACGTGTCGGGGCTCCAGTATCGGGGATCGCGCATGCCTCACTGTAGAGATCGGCAAGATCCCCGAGCCTGAAGTGGTGCAGCCGAGTCTCAATCTTGATCCAGCGGTTCCCTTCCACCGGCTCTGGGAGAGGTCGAAGGGTCAAACGGGGCAAAAACTGCAGCACAGTCCACGCCCCCACACAGTCTGGATGGGTAGCCAGCCACAGCAGTGGTGCCAGAAGACACAAGGTGTAGCTCTCCAGAATCTTTGGGGGCAACCGCCTCACCAAAAACGGTTGGTCCGCTCGCTGGAGTGGCGCGATGTCCCAAGTGCTAGCCAAATGCCAGAAAGACTCGTCCTTTGCCAAGTCCGCAGGCGATTTCTTAGATGGTTGCGGTAGCACATCTACGGCCTGTCCTGCTGGCATGTTGGAAGGATGTGGCATACCACGTTGCTCCCCCCTCCTCACTCGCCTCTGCGTCAAGACATTCTGATTCTTGTCATCACCCAGGGAGACCTCCTCCGATGCTTCAGAGTGCGACGGGATAAAGTCGCTCCCATTCGGGGAGTTATCAGAACCATCCTCACCCCCATTCACGAGCGTAGCTACACGCTTTGGACGGTCGTGGCGATCACGCCACGTGCCTGATCTTGCGATCGCAGCCTCTCCTCCTAGGAGAGGAACTCCCCCTCCGCGTGTCCCTCCCCTTCCCCCTCTTCCTCCGCAGAGGATCGCGGAGGGTACGCCGGCGCCACCGCCCCTCGCGCTTTCCTGTGCAGACCTTAAACCCCTGCCAGCCGGGTCCCAGGGGGTCGCCATAGTCGCTCGTCCCGCCCCTGACGGCCTACCCCACACTATTCCGCGACCTCTCTTCGAGCTCCGTGTTTCGCGGTGAGTTGCTTGCTGGGTCGAGGGTGTAATAATTGGTTGTTGCATTGGACTTGACTGCTCGGCTCCCCGTTGTGCTTGACCAGTCTCACCCGTGTTCCTCCTCGCGCCGGGTCCCATTGCAGGCTGTGGTGCAGATGACAGCAAACGCGCTTGCCCTGGTGGCGACTGCCCTTGTCGAAGCCAGCCCAGGAGGGGTCCCGGGACCCCAGGTCCCAGCCCTGCTCCGGGCCGCCTCGGCGTTGGCTGGGCGCGCAGCTTCGTCTTCCTCCTCGCCGAGGCGGTGCCGGAAGCGGCGACGATCGCGGGACCCTCACTTCCACCCTCCGCCTGGCCGTGTGCCTGCGTGCTTGCGGCCGCGGCAGCAGCAGGCGTTCCGGCGGACTCAGCGGCAGTCGGCGCAGATGCTTCGCTCGGGGGTTGTCCTTGTCGCCTCGCTGCCTCAGCCACGACCGCAGCAATCTCTGACTCTTCGAGAGCTGGCAAGGACTCTGCCACTGCTGGCACCGGTGAATCAGCCAGCCCCCGCTCCACCTGTACCGCCTCTGCAGCTCGACCCTCGTCTGCCGACGGCGGCGTCGCCGTCGGCTGCACCGCATCGGGTGGGATTAAGCCGTCGTCAAAGGCGGCAACAGTCTCGGCAGCAGGCCAGTGCGTCACCCGCTCCGCCTCCGTCGTATCTGCCACCGCAGCCACAACAGTCTCCACCCGCAGCGTCAAACCCGGCTCCACAGCAGCAGCGTCCTCCCATAAACCAGTTTCCCCTACCCCAGCCTCAGCTGCACCATCCGCCAACGCCCCCTGTGCCGCCATTCCCCCCTGTCCCGCCTGCTCCTCCCGCTGCTGCTCCTGTAGCCGCGACGCCTCCCCTCGTCGAGCAGCGCGTTGTGCACGTGGGGACGTGTTTGACGTTGCTGTCGTACGTACTAGACCAGCTCCACGTGTGTTTGGCGCGGCAAGGCTTGGAGGTTGGGGGGATGTTGCTGGCGGAACGGTCTGTGGCGGTGGCTGCGGCCACAGAGATGCTGCACTACCTTCCTTTGATCGGCCTTATGCCGGGCGCCCCTGGTGCTGCGCTCGGGCCCGGCCCCCGGGCAATGGTAAGGCTTGCTGAGTCTGCTCGGGGGAGCCCCCTCGGTCTCATGTCAGCAGCCGCATCCGTCCTGCGCTGGATGGACGGGAGGCTGTGCTGGATCCTCGCCGAGTACACATGGGCTCCACTAATTTCAAGGCCCGAAATCGGGCGCTCGCGGGTAGCTACCCTTATTATGTCTGGGACCAAGGGTTGTACAGAGTGAAACATATTTTGAAGTAGGTAGGGTTTCGGACTCCTTGTGAGGGCAATGACGCAACGAAGGTCGCAACTAGAAATTTTTCCCGTCAGAGAGGGTTGTAAGCCTGATCCACTGAGGGACACATTGTTTTAAACAACCGTTGAGGAGAGCGTCTTCAATATCGTTTTGATTATGGGTGTCTGAAAGATACGGCCGAATCTGGTCTAGGGTGTCTCTGAAAACATTTTCCAGGGCTTGAAATTAGTGGAGCCCAGGTGTAACAGGTGGTTTTCCCTTGCAGGCTCCCGTGGTGCTAGGCCTTGCCTTGGGCTTCCCCATGGCGGAATCCCCTTGCCTGGGGGTGGTGTCCTTGTCTTGATTCTCTAGTGGCCTCTGATGTACCACATGCTGCTTTTATGACTTGTGTTGCTGATCTCCTTGCCACCTCTCACGCGCGGCCGAAGGCAACAGGCCAGAAATGATGAGAGGAAACAGGCCAGGATTTGGAGAGTGAACCTAACTCACCAGTGAATAATGAGCTCACTAGCCTAGATCCAGGGCCTTTATACTAAAGAAACAGGCCTAGAAATGGCTAAGGACTAGATCCTAGAGAAGAGAGGCCTAGAAATGGCTAAGGACTACGACTATGACTATCTCTCTCTCTCTCTCTCTCTCTCTCTCTCTCTCTCCCTCGCTCCTCTCTCTCTCTCTCTCTCTCTCTCTCTCTCTCTCTCTCTCTCTCTCTCGCTCTCTCTCTCTCTCTCTCTCTCCTCTCTCTCTCTCTCGCTCTTTCTCTCTTTCATTATGCCCCCCTTTTTTCCTATCCCTCTCTCTTTTTCTTTTTTGTTTTGTACCTTCATCCTTCACAGCAGCTCTGATAGTGAGCTAGATGACCGAGGTGTCAGAAATAACTGAGCAGGAATGGATTGAACTAGCACATAGTTTGGTACAAGTAGGAAACCCTAACTTTCAGTACCCCCTAAGGTGTAACCCACTACAGCCTACATAATATAAGCATGCAATGTTTGACACACCCCCATAGGCGCAGTGGGAGACAACCACAGGGTCACAAGACCAGTCAAAGCAAAGCAAAGCAAGCTCAGGGTGGATCTCAAGGATTCCACACAAATTCCGAGCACAAGCAAGCGGTCACAAGACCAGTTCACATGCAGGTTTATAACAAAGCAAGAGATACAGTGATCACAACCTAGCAAAAGTAAACAAGTAGGCATATATATATAGTGATCACAGTACAAGCAAGGTCAAGAGGTAAGCAAGTGAGGCCCAGTAGGTACAAGGCCTACAAGCAAGGTCAAGAAGTAAGCAAGTGAGGCAAGGTAGGCACAAGACCTAACAGAGTGCAGAAGCGCTGATGATCACAAGGCGCGAGTGCCTTAGTGAAGATATCAGCAGTGTTGGCCTCAGAGGCCACGTAAGCAAGGCGCAGCTGACCACGTTGCTGCAGCTCACGAGCAAGGAAGTAGCGAAGAGCGATGTGCTTCGTTCTGTGCTCCAGTCTGTGCTCCCGACACAAGGCCAGCATGGCCTTGTTGTCTACGTACAGCACTGGAGGAGAACGAGGCGGCTCTCCCAGGTCAGTCAGCAGGTAGGTGAGCCAGCGTAGCTCCTGTGCAGCCATGGCCCCTGCGTAGATCTCAGCCTCACAACTGGAGCCGAGAACAGAAGACGAGCGGGTAGACCGCCACGAAACAGAGCCGGAACCAAGTGACGACCGCTGCGTAGCCTGGTCGTCGGCCCAAGAAGCGTCTGCGTGACCAGTGAGGACCACTGGACTCTGCCCTCCAAGCACAAGCCCCATGCCCGACGTACTGCACAAGTAGCGCAACACCCTCTTCGCTGCAGCCATGTGCTCTGGTCTGTGTCTCCCAGGAGCAACATAGCGTGCCAGAATGCTAAGAGGGTATGCAAGGTCAGGTCGAGTGCAGGTCATCAGGTACATGAGGCAGCCAACAAGCTCTGGGTACGGGCCACTCGACTCTACGGACTCATCCGAAGGCAGAGCTGAGAGCGAGTGGCGTGTAGGCAGAGGAGTGGCCTGAGGCGAGGAGTACGTGAAGCCGAAGCGCTGAAGGACCTGCTGCACCATGTGTGACTGAGTCAGGGTAATGGTGCGCTGTGCTCTGTCCCGGGTGATCTGCAAGCCAAGGTAGCTGCGCAGTTCACCCAGGTCTGTGCACGTGTGTCTCTTCTGCAGCTCGGACTTCACGTAGGCAAGTCCAGCAGTGTCAGCTGTAGCAAAGACCAAGTCGTCGACGTACACGAGGATGTAGAACGGCGGCAACGAAGTGTCGGTACGCAGAAACAGCGAGTCGGCGTAGAGTAGAAGGAGCAAGGAGCAAACCCAAGAAGTGTCGTCCTCAGTGTGTCGTGCCACTCACGAGGCGCCTGGCGGAGACCGTAGACTGGCCGCCGGAGGCTCCACTGGGTGCCAGGAGGAAAAGTCCCAGTGAAGCCAGGTAGGCGGCGCAGCCAGATCTCCTCGTGCAGGCTGCCCTGCAAGAAAGCAGTGCTGAAGTCAAGAGAGTGCAGCTCGTAGTCTCGGTGAGCGGCTATGTGCAGCAGTACCCGAAGAGTGGTCATCTTCGGGGTGGGAGAGAAGGTCTGAAAGAAGTCAACTCCCTCGCGCTGACTGAAGCCACGAGCCACGTAACGCGCCTTGAAGACAGGCGGAGAACCCGGCGGCCGCTTCACCCTGAAAATCCACATGCCACTGACGATGTTCGCCCCAGGCGGGGGAACCTCGTCAACGTAGGTGCCTGTGGACTTCCAGGAAGCCATCTCTGCGTCCATGGCTGCCTGCCACTGAGAGGAGTAGGGACCCTCTATCGCCTCCGCGTAAGAGCGCGGAGTCGGGATGTCAAGTGCATCTGGGTCTCCCTCAGGGGCAAGCAGCATGGACACGAGATGAGGTGAAGCAGCAGCCAAGCACTGGAACTCCTCCTGCCTGTCCTCAAGGACGTCCGTGCCAAGAGCACACTCACCCCCGACGGACGGAGGACAGACAGACTCAGACTCAGCGACGAGACTGGCAGCGTAGTCTAGGCGACAGCGAGCAGCGAAGTCGACAAGCTCAGCAACCAGGGCAGACGCAGCAGTAGACTCAAAGGAAGGGTCAGTGACGACAGTAGCAAGGAGACGCGTGACAGTAGGACGCGCAGCACGAAGGGAGTCCGACTCAGGGTCAGGAAGGTCAGGAAGAGAGGACGCGGGAGGAGAAGGCAAAGGGGCACGCAGCGGAGCAGTGGAAGGACGCAGAGACATCCGGTGCGTGCCGGGGACAGGGGGAGGACGCTGACGCGAACCACGACCACTAGCGCGAGCAGCACGGACAGGCGACGCAGGGCGAGACGCAGGCTCACGACGCTCAGCAAGACCTCCAGTAGGACCAGTGTAGGGAGAAGGAGAAGGAAGCGGGGAGGCCGGCTGTAACTGTGACTCAGTCTGGACAGGAGGCGGACACGCTAAGGGAGGAGCAGGACCAAGAGAGGACGGAAGACCAAGAACCTGCTCAAGGAGCGGAACGAAGTACGGCCGTGGCCGCGCAGCGCCACCAGTGCCAGCAGGAACAGCACCAGCACTCCCAACGGGAGCACCAGCACCAGGAGGACCCCAGATCCAGCAACCAACTCCAGCACCCTCAGCAGCACCAGCGCCAGGAGCACCTCCAGCGCCAACACCCCCAGTAGCTCAGCTCCAGTCAAACCACCCGAAGACGCAGCAGCTCCAGCTCCAGGAGCACCAGCAGCACCAACGCCAGCAGCACCAGTAGCACCACCAGCTCCAGCAGGAGGAGCACCCGTAGGCCCAGCAGCTCCAGTACACCCTGTACGAGCACCTCTGGGACCCTCTGCACCAGCACCCTCAGCAGCAGCAGAACCTCCAGCGTCCGCAGCACCACCAGCTCCAGCAGCACGCCGCCAGCGCCGGGCGAACCACTCACGCAGCTCCTGTGGAGAGAGTAGCTCCCGCCGGGACGAAGCACCCGAAGAACCTCCAGGCCCAGCACCACCAGACGCCACACAAGCAGGCCAGCACCCTCAGGCTCCGTACTCCGAGACACAGCACCCCCAGGCTCAGCAATCCCAGGCGTAGCACCCCCAGACGCAGCACCCCTAGGCTCAGCACCCCCAGGCTCAGCACCCCCAGGCGTAGCACCCCCAGGCTCAGCACCCCAGGCCGCACCCCAAGCTCACACCCCAGTCGCAGCACCCTCAAGCTCAGCACCCCCAGACGCAGCACCCCCAGACGCAGCACCCCCAGGCTCAGCACCACCAGCAGTACCAGAGTCAACAGCTACCTCGACAGGCTCGACTGCATCTACCTGGGACACACCTGAGGGAGCAGGACCCTGAGGGGGGAGGGGGTCTACCGGAGGGGGACCTGGCGTAAGGAAGAGCGGCGGGGGAGGGAGGGACGCAGTGCGGTAGGGGAAGAGACGGTAGTAGGGAACCGACTCGTCAAAGGTGACGTCCTGGGAGGACAGAACACGGCGCGAGGTGGGGTGGTAGAACTGCCAGCCTGGCGCGTCAGGAGGGAAGCCAAGGAAGACGCAGGGAACAGCACGAGAGGACAGCTTGTCCGCAGACAAGTCGGGACAAGACGCCCGAGATCCCCAGACACGGAACGCAGACGCATCGCCAACCTTCCCCGTCCACAGTAAAGCAGGGGAGGTCTCCGGCCTGGAGACCCGGGGGTGAAGGTTGATCTGATGCGCCGCGTACCGAACCGCAAACGGCCACAGAAAATGGGGGGCAGCCGCATGGACCATGGACGTACGAGCGACGTCCATGATCATGCCAATGCGGCGCTCAGCAATCCCATTTTGCTGTGGAGAGGCCGGAAGCGTGAAGGTCTGGCGGATGCCTCGTGCACGACAGAAGGCCCGCAGAAGGTCAGAGGAGAACTCTCCGCCTCTGTCGGAGTGCAGACGCAGAACAGGAAAGTCAGAGCCGAAACTCTCCCGGAGCTGGAGACGAGCTGCGCGGATCCAGGCGATCAACACCTCAGTGACGTCACCCTTGCTGCGCAAGGGGAAGACTGTGGTGTAACGCGAGTAGTCGTCAACCACCAGCAGGAAGTACCGCTCGTGGCCCTGTCCACGGACGCGGGCTGGGCCCCACACGTCCATGTGAAGCGTCTGCAGCGGAGCCTCGGTCGGAGGAAACTCGGAGGAGTGAGGGGCAGCGCGCTGCCGCCCCTCGACGCAGGGAACGCAGGTGGGGGCAGGCCCCGGAGGAAGGGGAGGGAGGGACCGGGGGAGGCCAGAGACAAGAAGACGGGAAGCCATGCCTCGAAGACGAGGCAGGGAGGGGTGACCAAGGCGGTGGTGCCAGAGGAGAGTCCGGTGGGACAGGAGACGACACGAGCAGGGGGCAGACTCAGGACCAGACCTGGACACAGCTGCAAACACCTGACCCGACGCCGCTACCTGAGCAGACTCAGTGACTGGAGGAGGCTCAGTAGTCAGTGTGTACAGGCTCGACCCTGGCCGACGGGTAAACGTGGCCAAGTGTCGGCCCGTGTCTGCACACGTGCAGTGAGTCACCCGCTGACGAGCAGGGGTGAACTGGTCAACTCCCCCATCCTGTAGGTCAGCACCCGCCACCAAGTTCGTAGAGAACGAGGGGAGGTAAAGACCCGACAGGGAGCCAGACGGGACCGCTGGACACGGTAGGACAGTGGAGTAGTGGGCAAGGACAGGACCCCCAGAGGGGTCTGCCAGGGAGACTGCAACGGGCCGACTGAGTGGCGTGAGAGTGGTGCAGTCTCGAAAGAAGGAGCGGGAAGCACCCGAGTCAAGGGTGAAGGTGTGGGTGTCCGGAGACGACGCAGTACCTGAGAGCGCAGACTCACCGGCACCTGGGGCGGCAGACGCACTGGCACCTAGAGCAGCAGTCTCACAAGCACCTAGCGCAGCAGCCTCTATGCCTGGGTCAGGCGGAAAACACCGGTAACAGTCACCCTCATCACTAATAGTCACAGCATACATGGCAGCAAGAATAGCATCATAATCAAGATCAAAGATCGCAACACCCGCCCTAGACAGCTCGCCCCAGCGAGGGATCTCAGTAGCGTCGGGGAACTGGTGACGCCACGCGTCCGTCAGACGGCCGAAGCAGCGCTGGGTGGAGTGCGCTCCCCCACACTGCTCACCCGCTCGGTCGCCGGTACGGAGAACGTAGGTACAGGGGCCAGCACCCCCGCCCCGCTGACGAGCAGTGTACCACTCACGAAGCTGCTGGGGGGAAGGGGTCTCACGAGTACGCTGCTGCTGCTGCTGCTGGCGCTGACCACCACCGGAGCCAACCCTCTGTGCAGCGCCACCCCGACCAGCTCCACCTCCTCCGCCGCTACCTCCTCCACTACCGCCACCTCCGCCACCTCCGCTCCCACCGCCACCGCCGCCTCCGCCTCCGCCTCCACTGCCGCCACCGACGCCCCCACCCCCGCCACCACCCCCACCGCCACCCCCACCCCCTCCACCACCTCCACCTCCGCCTCCACCGCCCCCGCTAGCTCCTCCAGCACCCTTGCCCCCCTTGCCCTTGCCAGGGCGGCGTCTCCCGCTAGGGGCAGACGCCGCAGCGACCGACTCAAGACCAACGAGGTCGGCCGCAGCAGCAGAGGCAACAGAGGGCAGGAGGGGAGAGGGGGAGCACCCCTCAAAGACAGGGGTACGAGGGTCACCACGAGAGGCTCCTACAGCGACTATGCTCTTCTCTGCCGCTAGAAGGCGCTCCTCGAGGAGGTCAACGGTGAGGGTGGTGGGGCAAACAGAGAGGAAGTGGTCCCTAACCGGGCGAAGGGTGTCAGGGAGCCGGGTGACTATGTAGTAGAGGGTGATGTACATGGGGGGGGGGGGGTTCTTGGCGCAGAACTCAGCAGGAAGCGCAGCGCGGTAGCGAGTGTCACTAGTGCGAAGGTGCGTAATGAGGTCAGCGACAGTGGGAAAAGCGGCGAGGTCAGGGAAGAGGTACGGTAGGATGAGGCGGCTAAGCGTGCAACTACAGCGTCGTACAAGGTCTTAGCACTCTTGTACTGGCTAAAGTGCGCACGCTCAGCGGTCGGCAAGTGGCGGCGCACAGCAAGGCGAGCAGCAGCATCGCGCGTGGCCCAATGCGAGCGAACAGTGGCGTCAGCATCAGCAGCAGGGGCAGGAGAGGCACCAGAAGTGAGGTCAAAGAGGGAGAGACCGTCTGCCCTATCGCTCAGCAGGAAAAGCTGCAGGTCATCTACCCAGACGTCAAAGTCAATGGCCCGACCCTCAGCATCAAAAGTGAGGACACTGGGGGTAGCCATGACAGCAGTAGACTAGCAGCGCGAGCAGCAGGCAAGGGCAGTGCAGTGGTGGAGGCGCTGCTCTTACCGGGCAGGCGAGAAGGACCGAGGCTCGCCGGCAGGAACAGGGCCGCGACGGCAGTAACGGCGGCTCGGCGGCTCGGCAGCTCGGTGGCAGCGGCGGCAACGGCGGCAACGGCTGGCGGCAACGGCGGCAACGGCGGCGGCGGCAACGGCGGCTCAGCGGCTCGGCAGCTCGGCGGCGACGGCGGCTCGGCGGCGTCGGCGGCTCGTTGGTGACGGCGGGGCCGTGAAGGGCGGCAGGGCCGCTGAAGGGACGGCGGCAGGGCCGCAGAAGGGCGGCGGCGGGGCCACGAAGGGTGGCGACCGGGCCGCGGAGGTGTGGCGACGGGGCCGCGAAGGGCGGCGCCGGGGTCGCACGGGTGTGGCGACGGGGCCGCGAAGGGCGGCGGTGGGGTCGCGGGCGGCTGCGACGAAGCCGCGAGGGGGCGACGCCGGGGCCGCGAGTGTGGGGCCGCGGGGTCGCGAGGGGAGGGCGACGGGGCCAGCAGTGGCGGCGCCGGGGCCGGTAAGAGCGGCGCCGGGGCCGCGAGGGTGGGGCGACGGGGCCGCGAGGGCGGCGAGAAGGGGCCGCGAGGACGGCGCGAAGGAGCCGCAAGGGCGGCGCGACGGGGCCGCGAGGACGGCGTGACGAGGCCGCAAGGGCGGCGCGACGGGGCCGCAAGGGCGGCGCGACGAGGCCGCTAGGGGCCGTGAGAGGGGAGCGCGACTCGGGCAGGGGCGGAGTGCGCTCCGGGCAGGAAAAAAAAAAAAAAAAATCTTACGGTGGGCCCTAGGAACAGTTCCCACGAGGGAACCTGCTCGATACCATGTGGAAAACTAGAACGAGAATGAGTGCATTGAGCAGCATGAGGAGTACAAGTACCAAACCCTAAAGTGTTGTACCCCATATGAGCTACCCCACTACAGCCTACACAGACTATAGTGTATGAGTTTAACAACACCGCACACTCGTCAATCACTATCACCTGCCCACTCTTTTCCCTGCTTCTCCCCTTCTTCCCTTCTTATTCCACACCACCCCCTAGCACACTCCCTTTTAGCCCCTCCCCCCCCTCCTCACATCGACCAGGTAGCGAGGCGACGCCAAATAGGTGTGCCCTACGGGGTGATGTGGGCGGCAATCATGCGCAGGTTCACAGCCTTCTTCCAATCGCCCAGTGCATCGTATATGAGCACCAGCATCTGATAGCTGTCCGGCACCGTACGTGTCGAGGAGAAAAGGCCCCGACCTCGCTTGGGTAAAGTCGGCCATGCTTTTCGGAGCACAACGGTGTTCGTTTCGTGGTCATCGGCGACTTCAGGGACTTTTATCTGGGTGCGACAGCCTCTGGGACTCTGATCTTTGTGCGACGGGTCGATTTTCGACGAGATTAATTCGTCGAAATTGAAGTGTTGTTTCTGCTCTATGCAACTGCCCGTCGACGAGGCACTGGTCGACAGGAGGAAATCGGCATTGAATTCGAGCCTCGCGGGTCGACAAAATTGTAGAAAACGGTGCTGTGACGAAACGCTGGTCGACAAAATTAAGCTCGAAAGAGGCATTGTCGAGCAGAGCGTTTCTGGTCGAACGAAAGTACTTGTCTCCGAAATTCGCAATGTGCGCGAATTTTGTGCAATCGCAAAACAACAAATTTCGACCAATCAGATCATCTCGGAAATTTTACCCCCCAGGAGATTTCGAATCAGTAAGGAAACTGAACCTGAGAAACTCCCAACTCAGGAGAAAGACACAAGTGTTTGTCGTTTCACCTGCCGTTGCTAACTTGTGAAGACTAGAACGAGAATGAGGAGCCATAGCTAGGAAAACCCTAGCTAGGCAAGAGAGAAATGAGCAAAAGAGGAGGTTCACTAGCAGCAATGAGGATACATATAGCAAACCCTAGATGGGTTGTACTCGCTATAGAGCACCCCACTACAGGCTAGACAATTATAACATTCTGACACACCCCCATAGCCAAAGTGGGGTGTAATCAGCACAATAAGCAGGCACAGAGCAGGTGCACAAGGGCCAGCAAAGCTAGAGGCATTCACAAAGGGCAAGTGAGGAGGAGGAGGCGAGACTGTAGGAGGAGAGGAGATAAGAGGCGACGGCTGAAGCTGCAGACACACGGGCAACAGGAGTCATACTGGCACAGTGGCTACCGGAACAGCGCCCCGGACTACAGGAGTAACTGGCTCCGCGGCTAAGAAGAGCGGCAGACGAGCAACGGACCCACGGGCGACTGGCGCAGCTGGCTACGACTGGGCTACCGGAACAGCGCCCCGGACTACAGGTGCTGCTGACGACAAGACGGCAGCCTCCGCTCAACCTCCCCCGACCGTCCCACCCCCCTCTCACACACCCCTTGCCGAAACCCTAGCTCCACTCCCACGTCACCCCCCTAGCACCACTCCTTCGGCTCCCACACACCCACCCCCCTGAGCGGCAGCTGCAGCAGCGGGAGACGGAGGAGGAGGAGGAGTAGGGGACGGGGCACACAACCGGCACCCCCACAACCGCCACCCCCACACTCGCCAACGCCAAACCCTAACACAGGAGCGCGGGCAGCAGCGGGGGCGGCGCTCGTGTCGACGGGGGCGAGCGCAGGGGTCCAGGGGAGGGGCACGCGGGTCCAGGGGAGGGGCGCGCGGGTCCAGGGGGACGGGCGCGCGTGTCCCCGGGGGCGGCGCGCGGCTCCCCTGGGCGCCGCGACGAGTCAGCGGGGGGCCGCCCGCGGCTCCTCAGGGCGCCGCGACGGGGAAACGGGGGCCGCGCGCGGCTCCCCAGGGCGCCGCGACGGGGCAGCGGGGGGCCGCGCGCGGCTCCCCAGGGCACCGCGACGGGGAAACGGGGGCCGCGCGCGGCTCCCCAGGGCGCCGCGACGGGGCAGCGGGGGGCCGCGCGCGGCTCCCCAGGGCGCCGCGACGGGGAATGCGGGGGGGGGCGACGCGCAGGCCGACGGGGCAGAAAACCGCCGCGCGCTCGGGGCGCGCGGCGGGAAGAAAAATAAGGCGTCGCGCGCCACGGGGCGCGAGACAGATAGGAGAGCAACGGAAGCACGTGGGGCCCACAGGCCAAGAGCGTAATCGCTCTGATACCATGTGAAGACTAGAACGAGAATGAGGAGCCATAGCTAGGAAAACCCTAGCTAGGCAAGAGAGAAATGAGCAAAAGAGGAGGTTCACTAGCAGCAATGAGGATACATATAGCAAACCCTAGATGGGTTGTACTCGCTATAGAGCACCCCACTACAGGCTAGATCATAAAATTCTGACATAACTCGGCAAGGGTGTATGATTGTCGAGGAATGTTTCTCCGTGGTTCATTGTGCTTGCTATTTTGGATCTCCTTGCTTGTACCATAATCTTGTTCTATCAAGTTTTCCTAATGAATCTATGATTGAATTTTACAAAGGCATTCTAACACTCTGTAAAGAATCACTGCCAGAACTCTGACCGTGCGTCCCACGCAATTCAGCTCTCCCGTAGAATAGCTTTCTTCGCATGGTGCGGTGAGCGTGGACGGCCCCACGTTAGAACCTTCAGATTAACCGACTTTTTGCGCTAAATACCTAAGTCGTTGTAGGCCGGCAATTGTCTAGACCGCCATGGATGACCAAGAAGTCGATGCAGGAGTAGGAGATACTCTGCATGCGCGGTTGGATTGTGTTCGGGCACGCCACGAGGCTGGCGAGTACGGCGAGGCAAACTTGGAGATTCTGCTCCTTCAAACTCGTGCGCAGTGGGCGCGTGAGCATCTCCCTCCCCGACCGCGGACAACGAAGGTGACGGCGGCAATGTTGTCGGCGGTGGAAGCACGAGGGTTCGCGGAGTGATTCGGGCCGCTGACGTCGGCGTTGGCGGAGTGCAAGTGCAAGTGCTGCGATCGTTTATGACTAGAGGCAGCTCGAACGGCAACGTTGATGGTCGACGTCGGCGTTGGCGGAGTGCAAGTGTAAGTGCTGCGATCGTTTATGACTAGAGGCAGCTCGAACGGCAACGTTGATGGTCGACGTCAATCTCCTCAGCGGAGTGGAGTCAGGCCGATTTCGGCGACTCATGCGTCGGCTGGTCGAGACGGAGGCATCGCGCCGGCGTATGGCTATTTTAAAATTTCGCCGGACAAGATCGTTGTGCCGAAGCTGCTCGAAGGTCGACACGACTTGATCACATGAGATCGAATCCATCGAGCCTCAGCTGGAGATCGCCGGATTGAAGAAGTTCGTTGACGGAAATGTTTTGGCGCCGGACGAGGAGGAGGTCGAGCTCTGGTCGGAATTTCGCGCTGCTCACCTTCTGATCTCTATGGCCATTTCGAGGTGTTGCTCGCCTCTGGTACAAGTCGCATTGAAGTCGTGCAGACATCGAGTGGATGCTGGCTACCAAGCATGGCAGTACATCATGCGCACCTACAAAGCGACAGATGACCTCTACAACAGCCAATTGGAGAATAAATTGACCAGCATTTGTATGGGGGAGCAGGAATCGGCGACCGAGTACTGCAATCGAGCGCGACGAGTTTTTGGCCGATCTGCGGATGGCCGGCGTCGACTACTCGGTGCCGTTGTATGTCACCCATTTCATCAGTGGCCTCCCCTCGGGCTACAATCTAATGCGCCGGATGCTGGCAGTTCCCGGCACGCACGAGACTCTGAACGATGAATCGCTTTCGAGCCACATCATCCAGGACGAGTTCATGCAAGAGTCAGAGCGACCCGCAGAACTGCTTCCGCATGCCCATTACGTTGCCCCGGCGAGGCAGAGACGCCAACCTCCACAGCGTGGAAAGTTAGGTGGAGGCAGTGGTGGGAAGTCGTCGAACGCGAAATCGACGGAGAGCGCCGACCGCGGAAAGTCGGCGAAGGGAGGAGATCGCAACGGCGGTGGCTCGCGTCGAGAAGGACGTCGGTGCTACATCTGCGATGCTCCCGACCACCTCTCGTACGACTGCCCCGACCGAGACGAGTCTGACAACGACCTTGACGCCAACCGCAGAAAGTCAGATGGTGGCCGTCGTCGTTGAGACAACCAGCCGCGCGCAGAGAAGCAGGAGTCGAAAACTTCTTTGGCAAAAGACACCGACACTTCCAGCAGCAATGCACGTGGCAAGAAGGAGGCTTCGTGCTCGATGGTTGGCATGGTGGAGCCGACGATCTCGCTGGCGCTGGAGGCTGGCGAGGACTTCAAGGCGGTCGCTGCTGCTGTGGAGGCGAATCCGACGGTCGTGCTTCTCGACAGCGACTGCTCCCATCATCTGATGGGGATCCGGGAGGCCTTCGTCAACATGCAGCTGAGCGGCGACGTGCACCACGTCTGCGGCTTCAACGGGGCACTTCAGAGCGTCGAAGGCAGAGGCACCGTTGCTCTGCAAGGGGAGGTCGGGAAGCAGGTCCTCGTCCCCAATGTACTCTACGTTCCGGGTGTGCTGGTGAACCTGCTGTCTGCTCAAGGAGAACGGCATGAAGCTACAGGACGACGGCGGAGAGATGCTGCTGGTGTCTTCTGACGGCGATGTCCTTGGTCGAGCAAGCTACTCCGGCAGAGTTCTCTGCATCGACCTGCGCCCCTGCTCGACGAAGTCGACGACGACTTCGATAGAGGTTGTGGCTCTGCGAACGATCGCGTCGTTGAGGACAAGGGAATCCTCCACAATCATGAGGTTGCCGCTGGTCTGGACATCAAGAAGCCGACCGCAGATGATCTGTCGTGTGCCTCCTGCGTCGGCGGTAAGCTTGCACGGCACACCTTCCCCGACCAAGGATCGAACGCTGAGAACGCGCTCGACGTGGTGCATATCGACCTTTGCGGGCCGTTTCAGGTGGCTGCCAACGATGGCAGCCTCTACTTCCTGCTTTTGAAGGACAGGAAGACGCGCTACGTGTGGGTGAGGCCAATCGCGAAGAAGAGCGACGTGCTGGTCGTCTTCGACAAATGGTTGAAGGTTGTGGAGCGGCAAACTTCGAAGACGGTGAAGATGCTGCGTTCTGACCGCGTAGGGGAGTTTCTCGGTCGGGCCTTCACCGACATCGTTGAGGACAAGGGAATCCTCCACAATCTGACATGCCCCTACACTCCATAGCAGAACGCGATGGTAGAGCGGGAGATGCGCACGGTGGTCGAGGCCGTGCGAACGATGCTTCTGCACATGGGCGTGAAGCATCACTGGTGGCACCTCGCTCTCCGACAGGCTGTCTGCACTTCGGAGCCCAGATTTCAAGTTTACACTTCGCCCTACACCCGTGACCGTTAAGGGCAAAAAATTGGTCACCTCCCTGAAAATAAGGGCTAGAATTTCAGCCGCGGAGGGCCTTAAAACCGGGGTACACATTCAGAATGGGGAACAATAAATTTGGGGGTTTAGGCAAAATTTGGCAGTAATTTGGGATCAAGGGATAACCCCTGATGCCCACCCAGGTGAATATGCACCCCGGTTTTAAGTTCTGGCCCCAGAGATATCGACATCCCTGCTGTCAACAAGAATAGGCTTGTTTCTTGGTTCTTGTTCTTGGTTCTCGTTCTTGGTTCTTGTTCTTGGTTCTCGTTCTTGGTTCTTGTTTCTTGGTTCTTGATCTTGGTTCTTGTTCTTGGTTCTCGTTCTTGGTTCTTGTTTCTTGGTTCTTGTTCTTGGTTCTCGTTCTTGGTTCTTGTTTCTTGGTTCTTGTTCTTGGTTCTCGTTCTTGGTTCTTGTTTCTTGGTTCTTGTTCTTGGTTCTCGTTCTTGGTTCTTGTTTCTTGGTTCTTGTTCTTGGTTCTTGTCCTTAGTTCCTCTCGACACGCACCCCACCCCAATTTCTCCTCCAACCCAACCTATCCTGCCGTCCCAACTCCCTACCTAGCTACCCTCCTAACACCCCGATGTTGCTAGTACCTCCCACCCAGCCGTCGCCTCTCCCTCCTCCCGCCGTTGCTTCTCACTCCTCCCCGCCGTCGCCTCTCCCTCCTCGCCATCGCCTCTCACTCCTCCCCGCCGTCGCCTCTCGCTCCTCCCTGCCGTCGCCTCTTCCTCCTCCCCCGCCGTCGCCTCTCCCTCCTCCCCGCCGTCGCCTCTCCCTCCTCCCCGCCGTCGCCTCTCCCTCCTCCCCGCCGTCGCCTCTCCCTCCTCCCCGCCGTCGCCTCTCCCTCCTCCCCGCCGTCGCCTCTCCCTCCTCCCCGCCGTCGCCTCTTTCTCCTCCTCGCCATTGCCTCTCCCTCCTCCCCGCCGTCGCCTCTCCCTCCTCCCCCCGTTGTCTCTCACTCCTCCCCGCCGTCGCCTCTCCCTCCTCCCCGCCGTCGCCTCTCCCTCCTTCTCGCCGTCGCCTCTCCCTCCTCCCCGCCGTCGCCTCTCGCTCCTCCCCGCCGTCACCTCTTCCTCCTCCCCGCCGTCGCCTCTTGCTCCTCCCCGCCGTCGCCTCTCCCTCCTCCCCGCCGTCGCCTCTCCCTCCTCCCCGCCATCGCTTCTCGCTCCTCCCCGCCGTCGCCTCTCCCTCCTCCCCCCGTCGCCTCTTGCTCCTCCCCGCCGTCGCCTCTCCCTCCTCCTCGCCGTCACCTCTTTCTCCTCCCCGCCATCACCTCTCCCTCCTCCCCGCCGTCGCCTCTCCCTCCTCCCCGCCGTCGCCTCTCGCTCCTCCCCGCCATCGCCTCTTCCTCCTCCCCCGGCGTCGCCTCTCCCTCCTCCCCGCCGTCGCCTCTCCCTCCTCCCCGCCGTCGCCTCTCCCTCCTCCCCGCCGTCGCCTCTCCCTCCTCCCCGCCGTCGCCTCTCCCTCCTCCCCGCCGTCGCCTCTCCCTCCTCCCCGCCGTCGCCTCTCCCTCCTCCCCGCCGTCGCCTCTTTCTCCTCCCCGCCGTCGCCTCTCCCTCCTCCCCGCCGTCGCCTCTCCCTCCTCCCCGCCGTCGCCTCTCGCTCCTCCCCGCCGCCGCCTCTTCCTCCTCCCTGCTGTCGCCTCTTCCTCCTCCCTGCTGTCGCCTCTTCCTCCTCCCTGCTGTCGCCTCTACCTCCTCCCCACCGTCGCCTCCGGCGACAGGTGCCCGGAGCGCAAGCGCGGGTTGGTGCGCGAGCCCGGGTTGGTGAGCGCGGGTTGTTTCCTGAGGCGCCGTGGGTATCAGGTTCGTTCCCTGTCCTTTCATCCTCCTCCCGCCCTCTGAAATTTCCTTTTCTTTTACTCTCTTGGTATATATATATATATGTAAATATGTATGTATATATGTATATATGTATAAATATTTTTTCAATTGGTCTTCTCTTGCATTGCACATTCATTTGAAGAAGAGGAGAGACGGAGTGCGAGGGAGAGCGTGTGCAGGGGAGCGAACGCGAAGGAGAGAGCGCAGGAGAGAGCGCTTGAGAGAGCGCGTATGAGAGCGCGAGAGAGAAAGCGCGAGAGAGCGTGTGAGAGAGCACATGCGAGAGCGTGTGAGAGAGCGCGCGTGAGAGAGCGCGTGAGTGTGCACATGAGAGAGCGCGTGAGAGAGCGCGTGAGAGAGGGCGCGAGGAAGCGCGTGAGGGTGCGCGTGAGGGTGACCGTGTGCGTGAGAGAGCGCGTGAGGGAGCGCGTGAGGGTGCGTATGTGAGAGCGCATGAGAGAGCGCGTGAGTGCGCGTGAGAGTGCGCGTGAGAGAGAGAGTGATAGAGAGAGCGCGTGAGAGAGCCCGTGTGAGCGGGCATAAGAGAGCGCGTGAGAGAGTGCATGAGGGAGCGCATGAGGGTGCGCATGAGAGAGCGCGCGAGAGAGCACGTGAGAGAGCGCGTGAGGGTGCGTATGAGAGAGTGCATAAGTGCGCGTGAGAGTGTGCGTGAGAGAGCACGTAAGTTAGCGTGTGAGAGAGAGAATGGGCGTGAGAGTGCGCGAGAGAGAGAGAGAGAGCGAGAGAGAGCGCGTGAGAGAGCCCGTGAGAGAGAGCCCGTGTGAGCGGGCGTGAGAGAGCGAGTGAGAGAGCGCGTGAGGGTGCGCGTGAGGGTGCACGCGAGAGAGCGCATGAGAGAGCGTGTGAGAGAGCGCATGAGAGGCGTGAGGGAGTGCGTGAGGGAGTGCGTGAGAGAGTGCGTGAGGGAGCGCGTGAGGGGGCGTATGAGAGAGTGCGTGAGAGGGTGCTTGAGGGAGCGTGAGAGTGCACGTGAGAGTGTGCATGAGAGTGCCATGAGAGTGCGCGTGGGAGTGCGTGTGCGAGTGCGCGTGAGAGAGCGCGTGAGAGAGCGCGAGGGAGATGCGAGAGAGAGCACGTGAGAGAGCGCGCAAGAGAGAGCACGTGAGAGTGCGCGTAAGAGTGCGCGCAAGAGAGTGTGCGAGAGAGCGCGCGAGAGTGCGTGTGAGAGAGCGCTTGAGAGTGCGTGGGAGAGTGCACGTGAGAGAGTGTGGGAGTGCATGTGAGAGAGCGCATGAGAGTGCGCATACAAGTGCGTGAGAGTGCGCGTGAGAGTGCGCGTGAGAGAGTGCGTGAGTGAGCACGAGAGAGGCGCGAGAGAGAGCGTGTGAGAGAGCAAGTAAGAGAGAGCATGTGAGAGTGCGCGTGAGAGTGCGCGCGAGAGAGCGCGCGAGAGTGCACGTGAGAGTGCCTGTGAGAGCGCCTGTGAGAGCGCCCGCGAGAGGGCGCGCGAGAATGTGTGCGAGAGTGCGTGCGAGAGCGCGTGAGAGTGCGCGTGAGAGTGCGCGTGAGAGTGCGCGTGAGAGTGCGCGTGAGAGAGCGCGTGAGAGAGCGCGTGAGAGTGCGCGTGAGAGCGTCCGTGAGAGCGTTCGTGAGAGTGCCTGTGAGAGCGCATGAGAGAGCGCATGAGCATGTTGGGGCGTAGGCACTAGCATCTATTCTGCTGGTGCATGGGCAAATGGGGCTACTTGTGCAAATGAGTGTCGCTTTCTGCACTAGCGCTTCTAAGGTGTTGGCGCCTTGATCGCTCGTCTAGGCCGCTGGCAACTAGCGAGCTAGTGCCTAGCACGCTCGTGCAGCGGGCTCTAACGCTTGGGCGCTGGCATGGCACCTTTTTTTTTTTTTGTTTTTTTGATATCATATACATTACAAGAATGTACAGACATCGGCAGTCGTAACTGACATAGGGAGGGGAGCGCCACAATAGCTAGTATCGCAGATCCCCTCTAAGACAGCTACGGCGGTTGATGTGTCATGCTGGGGTTGTCCCAGATTGAGCTGAAACTGATCCTCCACGTCAGCGGTGCACCGCTGCTGCAGATACGTCGCATCACCGTCGCCTCATCGGCTGCCAGGTGTGCCCAGTTATCATCCAACGTCTGCCCCCTCTTTCGCGCTGTCGCCTCGCACGCCAAACAGTACACTCTTGCATGTGCGACGAACTTTATCACCGCCAGCCGAGCCACCCTCCTGGCCTGGAACGACTCATTTCTCCACGCCGCGTTACACCTCGCCAGCCACACTTGCTGTAGAACAGTTGCAATCCACGTCCCTTCCGGAAAACCTATCTTCGTGCTTCTTTGCATGAAGAGCAGATCTTCGAGATCTTGCCACGCTAGCCCCGGGTTCATAGCCACCAGCCCTCTCCTCAGCAGGTCCACCACCGGCTGCACTGCAGGGCATCCAAGAAGGCAGTGGTATGGGGTTTCTTCATCACGGCAGTGCGGGCAGACCACCCCCATGAAAAACAACCTCGAGCCCACTTGCAGGTTTCTACAGTGGAGCCTTAGGAGGACTTCACGTGCCCGCCGTGGCGTGGCAAGGGAGTCTCTCTGCGTGATGACCCTGTCCCATTCGATCACTCTTCTCTGCCCTTCCCACCTTCTCTGGTTCTCCTGCCTGCCAGCCGAGCTTGCCAGCACCTTCCTTATCCCCTTTAGTGAAAGCAGCTCCCCCCCCTCGCACGCCTCTGATAGCAGCAGCTTCGTACGTGCGTCACCCATGGCCCCCAGAACCACACAACCTTCCGTCACACATCGGCACTCCGCTTCGTAGGCCGAGATCCACCGTGAGGACCCCTGCGTAGGGTGCGAATCTTCTGCCGTCATCTATGGTACACAGCCTCCCTGTCACTTTGTCCCCCTTCGCCTCCTCGACCCGTCAGTATGTTAAGCTTCCAGTCGCGTCATTGCACGTCCGTAATAGCTTCACCGTGGCCACAACTTCCTCGTGTTAGAATCTAGAATAGAACGAGAATGGATGAACTAGCAGGAAGTTGGGTACAAGTAGGAAACCCTAAGTTTGTGTACCCTCTAAGGCTAAACCCACTATAGCCTACACAATATGAACATACAATGTTTGACACACCCCCATAGGCGAAGTGGGAGACAACCAGAGGGTCACAAGACCAGTCAAAGCAAAGCAAGGCAAAACAAGCTCAGGGTGGATCTCAAGGATACCACACAAATTCCGAGCACAAGCAAGTGGTCATAAGACCAGTTCACATGCAGTTTCATAATATAACAAGAGGTACAGTGATCACAATCTAGCAAGAGTAAACATGCAGGTATATATATATAGATCACAGTACAAACAGAGTCAAGAAGTAAGCAAGTGAGGTCCAGCAGGCACAAGGCCTAGAAGAGTGCAGAAGCGCTGATGGTCACAAGGCTGAAGCGCCTTGGTGAACACATCAGCAGTGTTGGCCTCAGTGGCCACGTAACGCAGACGAAGCTGACCACGCTGCTGCAGCTCTCGAGCAAGGAAGTAGCGCAGAGCAATGTGCTTCGTTCTGTGCTCCAGTCTGTGCTCCTCACACAAGGCAATGGCTGCCTTGTTGTCGACGTACAGCACTGGAGGAGAACGAGGCCGCTCTCCAAGGTCGGTCAGCAAGTAGGTGAGCCAGCGTAGCTCCTGGGCCGCCATGGCTGTGGCGTAGATCTCAGCCTCACAACTGTAGAACGCCAAGAAACTGAACCAGAGCCAAGGCTGAAGGTGTAACCCTGAGACGACCGCTGAGTGGCCTGGTCGTCTGCCCAAGAAGCGTCTGAGTGCCCAGTGAGAACAACTCGGTCTCGCCCTCCAAGCACTAGCCCCATGCTCGACGTACTGCACAAGTAGCGCAACACCCTCTTAGCGGCATCCATGTGCTCCTTCCGGTGACGGCCAGGAGCGACATAGCATGCAAGGATGCTAAGAGGGTATGCAAGGTCAGGTCGAGTGCAGGTCATCAGGTACATGAGGCAGCCCACAAGCTCTGGATACGGGCCACTCGACTCTACGGACTCATCCGAAGGCAGAGCTGAGAGCGAGTGACCAGTAGGCAGAGGAGTGGACTGAGGCGAGGAGTACGTGAAGCCGAAGCGCTGAAGGACCTGCTGCACCATGTGTGACTGAGTCAAGGTAATGGTGCGCCGTGCTCTGTCCCGGGTGATCCGCAAGCCAAGATAGCTTGTCAGTTCACCCAGGTCTGTGCACGTGTGTCTCTTCTGCAGCTCCGACTTCACGTGGGCGAGAGCCTCAGTGCCAGCAGTGGCAAAGACCAAGTCGTCGACGTACACGAGGATGTAGAACGGCGGCAGCGAAGTGTCTGTGCGCAGAAACAGCGACGGGTCAGCAGTAGAAGGCGCGAACCCAAGTGCCGCAAGTGTCGTCCTCAGTGTGTCGTGCCACTCACGTGGTGCCTGGCGGAGACCGTAGACCGGCCGCCGGAGGCTCCACTGGGTACCAGGAGGAAACGACCCAGTGAAGCCAGGAGGGCGGCGCAGCCAGATCTCCTCGTGCAGGCTACCCTGCAAGAAAGCAGTGCTGAAGTCAAGAGAGTGAAGCTCGTAGTCGCGCTGAGCGGCTATGTGTAGCAGCACCCGAAGAGTGGTCATCTTCGGGGTGGGGGAGAAGGCCTGGAAGAAGTCGACTCCCTCACGCTGACTGAAGCCTCGAGCAACGTAACGCGCCTTGAAGACAGGCGGAGAACCCGGCGGCCGCTTCACCCTGAAAATCCACATGCCACTGACGATGTTCGCCCCTGGTGGGGGAACTGCGTCGACGTAGGTGCCTGTGGACTTCCAGGAAGCCATCTCTGCGTCCATGGCTGTCTGCCACTGAGAGGAGTAGGGACCCGCTATCGCCTCTGCGTAAGAGCGCGGGGTCGGGATGTCTGGTGCATCCGGGTCTCCCTCAGGGGCAACTAGCATGGACACGAGATGAGGCAAAGCAGCAGCAAAGCACTGGAACTCCTCCTGCCTGTCCTCAAGGACGTCCGTGCCAAGAGCACACTCACCCCC